GGGCAACAAAGCGAGACTCTGTCTCAAAAAAAAAATAAAAATAAAAAATAAAAAATAATATGTGATAAAGACCTAGAGGTCCTGCAAAGACTAAAATATTTATTCTATGGCTCCTCCTTTATAGAAAAAGTCTGTCAACACCTGGGATAGAACAAGGAAAAGCAGAGTGAAGGCGGGGTCTTGACCCACCCCAGAGCTGCCTGGTGCTCCCAAGCACGCAGCTTCCTGAACAGCACACCCCAGACTACTGAGTCAAGAGCAAGTGTCTCAGAAATCTGAATAATTTACAAGTTTGAGAATCATTGCAATGAAAAGTTCAAAGGCCAAGTGGCAGTAGGGAAGAAGGACAGAGACTCATAAAGGGAAGCAGAGACACAGAGAGACACCTGAACCACAGCCATGACTGTGCTGTCATGAGCAGACCAGGAACTCCAGCTGCTGAGGGCCCGCCCCTGTCTCGCCTCTGCAAACCCACGTGCTCTTAAAGTCTCCGCCCAGCCAGGCCTCACTCCTTGACAAGCTGACATTTGTTCCTTTCAACCACAGAAGCCACTGGTAGGTTTAAAATACATCCAAAGGCCGGGCGTGGTGGCTCACGCCTGTAATCCTAGCACTCTGAGAGGCCGAGGCGGGAGGATCGTTCAAGGTCAGGAGTTCAAGACCAGCCCGAGCAAGAGTGAGACACCGTCTCTACTAAAAATATAAAGAAATTAGCTGTACAACTAAAAAATATATAGAAAAAATTATCCGGGCTTGGTGGCGCATGCCTGTAGTCCCAGCAACATGGGAGGCTGAGGCAGGAGGATCGCTTGAGCCCAGGAGTGTGAGGTTGCTGTGAGCTAGGCTGACGCCATGGCACTCACTCTAGCCTGGGCAACAAAGCGAGGAAGCTCTGGTCTGAAAAAGAAAAAAAATAAAAAGACAACACATAACTTGCTTCAGGGGCTTGACGCCACAGCCTGCTAGTGCTGGGCGATCCAGGAGCAGAGACTCTGCATCAAAATAGATTAATATAGGCCGGGGCGCCTGGTGGCGCTCACGCCGTGAAATCCTAGCTCTTGGTCAGGCCGAGGCGGCGGATGTGCTCCAAGGGGCAGGAGTTAAAAACCAGCTGCTGAAGCGCGGAAGAAGCTGGCGGGAGACCCCGGGGTCCTTTTTGACGTATAAATAGGAAAGAAATTAATGTGGCCAACGGCGGTGAGTAGTGAGTATAAAAAAATAGGCTCGGGGCATAGTGGCGCGAGTCCTGAGTCGCAGCGCTCGTCGGGAGGACTGAGAGTGCAGAAGGATCACTCGGGAGGCCAGGGCGTTTGAGGATTGCTGTCGAGCTAGGCTTTTTGTAGTCGCCACGGCACGTCACTCGTCAGCCTGGACTCAACAAACGAGGACTGCGTGGTCGTCAAAGAAAAAAAAAAAATAATAGATGAATAATTAGTTAAGAATA